TTAATTAATGTCTATTTATATGTTTAAATATATTAATAATAATTTATTTATTTATACATATATTTGCTCAAAAAAATTATTGCTCAACATTATAGAAAAAAAAATTAAGCACTAAAAGATATTTTAAGATTACGAAATCTATTATCCCAAGGAAAGAGAAACATAAACATACATTGTACAGAAAATAACATACAAACTTTAAAATATGACGCATTAAAATTGTAATATTAATAATAATTTATGGCTAGTTGCATTACATGAAAAGTTATAGAACTATGAAAGCTTTCCAGAGCAAGTAACACACATAGACACAATGTCACACAATTGGTTATTGATAATTTCCAAAACTTAAAAAATTCACTATTTGATAGCCGATGGTGTGACATTGTATCTCTATTGTGTTTTCTCTTACTGGAAGGCTTCATATATTTTTATAGACAAAAAGCAAGGAGTAATATTATAAACTTATATAGAATTATGTAAATATAATTACAATAATATACAAAACATATTAACTTTTTACAGAAAATGATGTCTCATCTATCACTCCCTCCTTTTTACTAAATAAGATACATAAACTACTACTATCATAATTATAATATGCTAATTTTCAAAATTGGTATACTACTTCTATTACAAAATTTAAAATCATATTCTATTAATGCAACAGATTTCTATCTATATCAACATCCAGAGTCCATTCTTAGCTCATTTTAGCATTTTTGTTAAAATAACATGCAGACTGAAATTAAAATATGCAACAGCTGTATTGTATAAATAACATTTGTTTCAATAATGCTTACATATGCTAATTTTAAATGAATATTATATATTCCTGTATCTCATTAATGTATGACAGATTTCCTAATCCTAAGAACATCATTTTCAGCACTTAATTAGTATTTTTATAATGTCCAGAGATAATTTTGCTTTTCGAAACCTTGGTTTACCAAAAAGGGGCATCGAATAAGTAAATATATTTTTATCACAATTTAAACATTCAAACCACACATTTTTCAAATCTTATACATATACAAAATTATGAATTAAAACAACGAATGAATATATATATTTTCGTTAAAATTTATAATGCTAGAATTTTTCTTAAGATTAACCATTGTCTATTCCATATTTTTTTCTCTATATATATAATGAAAGAAAAAAAAATCTAACCTCACCAAGCGCCGTTAATTCCTTCTTCTGTTTAGCATTAAGTTTTTTCTCAGTTTTCAGCGCAGTTTTCACACTGCCGCTTATTTTATTTTTATTTTTGTTCTTGTCTTTTTTCCCCATTATTTTTTGTGCTGCAAGATCGAATAGACAGTAAATAAAGAAAACCGTTTATAAATACAATAGCCGGAGAAGCCAAATTAGAGGTCTGTTCTATATAGGCAACCCATGTAAAGACCGTATTTATGGCCCTCGCACACTGCACGCGATGAGCGATGAGCGATATCCAATGAGAGCTCTGCTTTTCCGAACGTCACATCTGTCGCAAGACTCGGCGCGACATCGCTCAAAAGGTTGGTCAAGTTTCTACTTTCGTTGCTCGCGATTCGCGAAAGCTGGCGACAACCATAGACTACTGTTACGTAAAGTCCTATATAGAGCGCGTTCCGTTTCACGCATTGAGCGCATAGATCGCCTAGAAATCTATAATATATGTTACGTGAACTATAGATTTCCAGGCGATCTATGCGCTCAATGCGTGAAACGGAACGCACTCATAATCTCTAACGGGATTCAATAACTTGTTATCGACATTTGTTTCGGTATCGTTAACTAGCGACAGCCAATGGCAAGGACAATTCTGGTGAAAAGCGCAATTCTCATAGGCTATCGTTCGATAACGACAACGATAATCATCGCTAAGATGTTTATAGTGTTTTCGGACATAGCAGTAGCGGGATTCATTAACTTGCTATCGACAGTTTCCGGTATCGTTAACTAGCGACAGCCAATGGCAAGGACAATCCTGGTAAAAAGCGCAACTCTCATAGGCTATTGCTTGCTAACAACAACGATAATCGTCGCTAAGACGTTCGAGAATCCCGCTACAGGTTTAATCTTAAGGTAATCATCCATTTTGTATAGACATCTGTGTCTAGGACTCTACTTTGTACATGTTTCTTGGTTGCTTAAGTGCCGGTCTACAATAGATGATTTAGGGCCAATTTCACCAAGTCAGGTTAGATTAACCGACGGTTAAAATTAAATAGATAGATAATAATTAGTAATAATAGATACATAGATAAATAGATATGCAGAAAATCTATTTCATGGGCAGCGCAGCAATTCTGTAAAATCACCAAACAATGCTAGTTAGTTACTAAACTGCTGCTGCTTTTCACTGCCTATGAAATGTTACTTTTAGGCCGATATTACATTTGTCGTACGACAAACTTCTTAAGCACATTGATTAGCTAATTTCTAGAGACTCAAGAAAGTTTTTATTTTGCAGCCAATCGATATGCTTAAAAAGTTTGTTGTACGACAAATGTAATATCGGCCTTAAGGTGCCTTTACATGGCAGCGTTAAGCGTCAAGCGTCGAGCGTTAAGCGTCTGCGCAAAATATTGTTGCCCAGAATTATATTTCATTTATTTTATTATATAACAGATGTGTGTGTGTGTGTGTGTATGTGTGTTATTATTAATCTAGTTGCCTCTCTCTTGTGAGTAACTGCTCAAAAGTGCGCATGCACGGCTTACCGGTTTGGCCCAATAAAAAATAAGGTTACATTAGTCACATGTGTGTGTACACAGAAGTATGTATACTACAGACACGATGCTTGTATGTGTAGTTACTCACAAGAGAGAGGCAACTACAATTTTTTTTCTCACTTTCTTCCGACACTTTTCAGCCTGCTATTCCCCTTCCATTTATATATGTTCTAAGGGTTTAATCCACTGATCTATATATCTGGATTGCCGATCGCCTTTGTTCTTAGGACTCAAAAGCGTCCCCAAATGGATGCCGCCCTCTTACCCGGCAATTTGCCTCCGAGCGTGGGAAATTCAAATGAGTTTGACTAAAACCACGGTCTATGTAAAACTGTAACTAAAACTTACGTTTATGTAATATTTTTGCTGTTATTAATTTAAAAAATCAGGATTAAACAATGAAAAAGATCATAAAACAGACCAAAATATTACAAGATTTTATGTTTAATGAGACAATAATTCTTTATTCATTCAATAAAGGTTCCTATCATACGTTTTAATTGCGATAATATAATCTACTTGTCATGATTCGAGGAATTTTGGATTATTTTTTAATATTTACAGTTTCTTAATCATTTTTTGTGGGTCTTATAAATAAAATATTCGCAAATATAGAGAATGTTACCAAAGTTGGACCTTTCTATTCGTGTGCAGCTGTTACAAAGTTAAAAAGAAAATTAAAAGTTAAAAAACTGTTAAAAAGTTTATTAAGCGGTATCCATGACCTGCACTTATTGGTATCACTTAGAGCACTACCATGCATGCGCGCACCTCGGGCGTGTAAAATGGCGGACCTTCAATTGAGTACATCGCCAGGAGGCCTATCCCAGTGAGCATTATTGAGAGGATGAACTCTTTAAGAGGACTTTTTAAAGACTTAATTAAATTTTCTTAGAAATGATATCAGTAAGTTATTATCTTTTTGTAAGATATTTACATGTTATCTACATAATATCCATGTCCACCAAATAGCTACGAAAGATATTTATTAGAGATCCACGTGTTATCTACATATTCATTTCTTATTCGTAAAAATGTTTGCCAGAAATATTTAATAAGCATATATCCATTATTAATTAGAAATTAAAATCTAAATAGTTATATTTGAATTTTTTTTATATACGTATAGTTAATATTATTATTAACTATTCGATATTTTACATTTTGTATTATGTGCGTAATACGCATACGTTTATCTTCTTGGTGCCTATATTATAATTATGGTTCTTTATTGGGTGAGTTTAAAAAGTGAGCGCGATTCAATAATAGATTACCCAGTAAATGCTAGATATTCCTGAAATATTCCATTCGTATTCCAAAAGTTCCGTATATACCGAAATAGTAGAGAAATGTTCACAGAACGTTCAAATAATCGTGAAATATTCAGAATATTCTATGAACACTACTTGTATGAGCAATAAGGAATATTCAGTGTACATTTTGATATATGTATGGAACATACACAAAATATTCCATAGAATATTAATGGAACCCTCTTGGATCAATCTTATCGGACATTAATGAAAACCGACGTACGCACGCATCTCATTACCTGCGCGCGCAGCGACTACGTCTGTGATTGGCTGACTCTTGCGTTCACGCGTGCGTAAGCCCATATTGCATGCATATCAGGAACTGATTGACTGAGCATGTGCATGTGAGAGGAATTGGTGCCGATATTGCCGGTATTATTTGCGTTTCGTATTCAGTGTCGAGGTCGTAGGCCGTACAATTAAGAAAAAGAAGAAGAGTCTTAACTACAGGGCGAGACGGATGTCTCGTGGCATCTTTTGTATACTGAACGCAGCCATTACGTGACTATTACACGTTATTTGTCTGTACGGTGGTTCGTACCTTGAAGAAGTATCAAATTTATTTTATATTGCCTTATATTTATAATCTTTGAATAAATGAATCATATTCATAAATGAATACCATCTAAATAATTTATAAAACCCTTTCTTAAAATAATCTTTACTGTATATAATATACATAGACATAGTATATCTAGACCGAGCGTTTGCCTTTATTTAAAGAGTGGGGGTAAAGATGCACGTAGAAAAGGACATATTCTGCTTCGTGCCCCTTGCGTTCTCTCTCGCTCGCACATAGCATAGCGCTCTCTTTTGTCATGCTACGTGCGAGCGAGAGAGAATGCAAGGAGCACGAAACAGAGTATGTCCTTTTCTACGTGCACCTCGGCTCCCACTCCTCAACACTCGGTCTAGATATACTATGTCTATGATAATATATCACTCTGAATATATGATGGAATACACATGGGATATGTTCCGAATGTTTTTCAAGCATGCTTGAGAATATTTTTTGAATATTCAAAATATGGATAAAAAATGGAACATTTCGCGCTTATCTGAATATTCCTTGTACATTCTGTAAATATTCTGGAATGTTTTGGAATATTCTCCGGATGTTAATTTCGTCGATCGTAGGAACATTTTATAAATATTCCAGAAATATCTAGCGTTTACTGGGGTAATTCTTCATTTTACAGATAAGGCTTAAATAACATTGAAAGTTTATGATTATTTGCAAAGGATATGAAGAGAATATTTCTAACAAATTATTATTATTATATGTATTTTATGATTCCATAAAGTACGATGCGTATACTCCTTTTATTTTATTTATATTAATTACCCAGACAGCACAAAACGTCCTCAGGATCATCCTGAATATGTCCAGGATGGTTCAGGATATTTGTAGGATGTTTTAAGATATTATTATAAATATATTTTATGAAAATTTAATATGCATACATGATTACTTTCGGTTATGTAGGCTATTTAATATAATTTAGAAATTTTAAGTATTGTAATAATAAGTATTAATGTCCTATAAATGTCCCCTGGATAACCCCTGGATGTCTGTAGGATATCTGCCCTGTCTATTACCCAGACAGCACAAGGATGTCCTTAGGACGTCCAAAGGGCATCCAATATAATAGACAGGGCAAATATCCTACAGACATCCAGGGGTTATCCAATGGACATTTATAGGACATTAATACTTATTACAATACTTAAAATTTCTAAATTAAATTAAATAGCCTACATAACCGAAAGTAATCATGTATGCATATTAAATTTTCATAAAATATATTTATAATAATATCTTAAAACATCCTACAAATATCCTGAACCATCCTGGACATATTCAGGATGAACCTGAGGACATTTTGTGCTGTCTGGGTCACTATGTAGAAAAAGCAAAATCTCGCAAGCTTACAAATATATGTTTAATACTACAAACACAATAATGAGATATATCCAGAGGAGATCCGAGGATTAAAATAGGATATTCTCAGGATATCCTACATGTATGTCCTGGATGCCCTTTGGACGTCCTAAGGACATCCTTGTGCTGTCTGGGTATATTCTTTATGTTTGCGCAGGAGTACTTATTGTATATTTATCTGTATAATTAATTAAAATCTTAAAGGTTAAGTATTAGTATCGCTGGTTAGGTTAAAGTTCACTCGCAAGCCTGTTCTTAGACCGGTATTTATAGTCCGTTCTTATATTCAAGATCGTCTTAAGAACCTACATGATGCTAGCCGGAAAAAATTATTAAATATGATTATTTTTAATCCTTCTGAATGTATTTCGTTTGTAAATCGTTTGTGATTGATTGTGAGTTTGTTTTTAACGTTTCTGACAAATTAGGCTTTTTGTAATTAGCAATTTTAGTTTGGTCATGATGTTAGCCGGAACTTTTTAGTAACAAACAGATTTTGTGATAACTGATAACTGTAATTGATAGGAAATTGTTTGTGATTTACAAATATACCAATGTTACGTTTGTGAATTAATAAATTTTTTAATTACATGCAA